GGGAGGGAGAAAGATAGAGGATGAGAGAGGAAGAAGGGAGAAAAATTCACAGAGAAAAGGAGAGAGATGCAAAGAGAGAATAAGAGGGAGCTGAGAGGAAGGAGGAGGATGACGCGGGCGGAGAGGGTGAAACGTGGCGGAGGCAAAAACGCCTGCAGGAAGAATGGGGAGGCCTCCGACGCGGCTGTCGCGGCCCCAGGGCCGTATCGACCACCCTCAACCCCCGACACGCACACACACATACACCCTCTGTGTGTCTCTCTCTCTTTCTCGCTCTCATTTCTCTCGGCGTTCGCGACGGCATCGACACCAATGACTTCCAAGCGTTTCCACGCGCGCACACGCGTCCGCCTGTCCCTTTCTCTCACCCTGTCTCTCTCTTTCGTGCCTTCGCTCGTTCGCCGGCTCGTTACGGCCGGGCGTGTGCACGGCCGCCCGAAACGTCCGCGGATCTTCGATCTCGGCGGCTCGGGAGTTTGATGGCGCTGGTCGGGTCGCGGGGCATGCGATAATCGAGCGTCTCGGTCGGGACGAATGAGGAAGCGAGCGAACGGCGACCACCCCCTCCGCCGAGGATGACGACGACGATGACAGCGGCGCGACTTTCGGCAAAGAGGATCACGCCTCGGCTCGCGGGCCCGGAATGTGCGCATTCAACGTCGAATGCAGCAATAATTGATCCCGTAAACACGCAATAAGACCTTCGAATTCTTCCAGCGTCATTCTTGGAAATTGAAGATGCAACGGAAATTTAATCTCAGCGCTGCGTATTTTATGCTCTTTTTCTCTAAATAAATAAATTAATAAATCAATAAAACGAAAGCATTGATCCCAATAACATTTTGCGGTTGGCCGACATCGTTAATTTACAAGTTTGATATTAATTCGAAATAAACGATCGGCAAATAAAATTATCTTCACGTCGAAAAAAATCATACAAATTTGGCAATCTGTCAGCATCACCGAGTTTTCGCAGCTTCTCGAGAGAGCGATAAAACCTGTTGGACAAAGTCGGTTGTAGAAAAGGTCTCCGTCACTATTCTTCCAATGCTACAACCGCTTTCGCCGCGTAATTGAAGGACACTCGATAACAATGCATGACGCGTTATAATTTCGGTGCACACATTGTCTGTTTTAACAGCATTCATTCTATCTCGGTTAATGGATCGGATCGAGCGACTCGCAATTGGGGCAAAATTGTCAAGCATCCAATTTTATCGCGCCGGAACTGTGATGGATTTGTAATAATAAGAATTGTCGAGTCAATCTGCACTTGTGTACGGCTTTATCGGTACACGGGACAGATTTAACGTAATGCATCGCAATTAGAAAAAGTTTTAGCGGTGAAACGTTCGTGTGTAAACATCGCCATTGCTAATAACGCTGGACGCCGTCGTAGCCTACAAATTTAATGCCCGCTCTTCGTCGTGCTTTCGATTTATAGACAGCTGCAAATTAAAGCCCAAGAAGTGCATGATGCACTGATAAGAAAAAGAGGAGAGGAGGAAAGATGTTTCAATACCCGTCTGCGTTTACAGGAATTTTGTGTGCGGTCCTGCGACCAAAAATTAAAAAGTGCCTCGCCGCTGCTCGAAATTTAAACTCGATAAATGAATCAAATGTAGACAATTATACGATATATTTTATTTACGGCTGAAAAAGGCAGCTCTGAATTACTCTATCATACGCACTGAATATAATTAAGAATTCTGCACTTGCTGGAAATTTAAAATCAAAGAGACAAAGACGCAAGCTCTACGATCGACCATACTCAATCGCATATTATAATCAACAATGTATGTTCCATGGCCGGACAGTTTCTTCGAAAAAAAAAAAAACTGCGGCCAGATCAATAATGGGCTTAATTGCGTTAGGAAAACTGGTAGATGTTCCACAACCGTAAACGCACAAAGAGCGATCGATGTCCTCGCGAGACAGGCACGTTACACGATAAATCAAATTCGGCGAGGGGGGCCACGAACGTACAACGAGGGGTCTCGTCCGTTGCAATGAAATTACCGTGCAATGAGCCGCATCTCCGTGTATCCGAACGAAATGACGTTCGATCCTCGGTGGAATTCCCTTGGTGGAATTTCGGTCGCGTTGTAGCTGCTCGAGTTCGACAGCGAAGGATGCGGAAGG